GGCCAGGCGTTGTCACCGAAGGGGCAGGCGGAGGATCCCGGCGGAGGGCTGTCCGGATTTAACCGTGGATGGGGGCTAACCCCGTCGTAGGAGCAACGAATGGGCTGTGGATCCGGGTGGACACCACTGCCTGGGACGACGGCGCAGTCGTGGATCCCAGTTTTGGGCGCCGATCCCGACTTTGATACGGCAACGGATCCAGCCCTGGCGGTTGATCCAGATTTGGATGCCGAAGATTCCGCTTTGGATGCCACACCGGACCCAGTCTTGGGTCCGGATCCGGTCTTGGACGCCGTAGATCCAGTCTTGGGCCCAGATCCAGTCGCGGATACTGAAGTCGACTTGGAGGCAGTGGTGGATACGGTCTTGGATCCGGCTCCAGACTTCGAGGGAGAGGCGGAAGTTTTGGACGTGGATGTAGGACCCGTCTTGGATGTGGATTTGGATCCTGCCTTGGGAGCGGACTTAGAGGCCGAACCGGTGTTGGATTTGGCCTTTGGGGAAGCGCGAGCATGCTTATGAGGACGGGGGGGGGTCCGGTGCTAGGAGCGGGAGATGCACTACGCGGACGTTTCGCAACTGACGGATCCGCCCCACTTACAGACGGGAGAGGAGCAGAGACGCTGGCAGCACGAGAGGGCCCCGACAAGGGAGGAAGGGGATCCGACACGGCAGCTGTCACCAGCGCCAGTCGTCGACGAGCCAAATCCCGCTCCGATAAGCCACGATCGCGCTCCAGGACCAGCTGTTGCTGCTGAATTTGGGCTGCAGCGAGTTGATCCCGGAGTTTCGCGGCGGTCGCATCGGCTTCTTTCAATTTGCCACCTGGATTGACAATAACGAGTGAATATGGGGTTACTAGCAAGGACTAAAAGAGGATCCACGTACTCGTGCGGCGAAGCTTGGATTCCAGCTCTGTTTGTGCACGCTTGGCATCCGCCCACTCGGTAGCCGCCTTGTCCCGCCGGAGTTCGCTGTCCGCCAGCTTCGCTTGGATCTCGTCGCGCAATTGAGTCATGCGCACGAATTCTGCGAGCGCGTAATCTCGTCCGGCAGACGCTTTTTCGAGCGACTCCTTGGGGTCTTGCAACTCTTCAGAGAGTTGAGCCAGGGCTACATCCGGCGATGAGGGAGGTGGATTTGGCGCGGGGGACCCTCCACGCGCCGACCCTAAGGCGGATCCGCCATGGGTGGATCCCACATAGTCGTTGGTCACCACCTCCTCCTGGGTCAGACGCAACTCGTCACGGAGCCGGTCCAAGCTCGCATCCGCAGCTGCCCCAGCAGTCTGGGAATCCTCCAGATCCCGCTCGAGGTCGTGGATCCGGGATTGGAGCTGGTGGATCTTAGATCCGGCGAGCGCCATCTCCCTAAGGAGATGGGTCGTTGTCATCCCGCATGACATCTCGCTGACGGGAGGCGCGATCCAGCCTTCCGGTCAGGTCGCGGATCTCGACCGCCTGATCAGCCAACAAGAGTCGCAGGTCCTGCGACCGAGAGGCCGCACGGTGCTCCCACCCCTGGATCTCCATAGCCTGGTCATGGACCTGGACTCGCAAGGTCTGAAGGTTGGGTAGTGTGCAGAGACGCAGCTTGGTCTTGGGGCATCTTGGAGCAGTCTGGACATCCGCCGTCAGGGTTTGCACCTGATCGGAAAGCGCCTGGGCTAGAACCCGCAGATCGGTGGGCGACATGGAAGACGGACTGACCGGAGGAGGGGTGGATGGAGCCTTGCCCGACGATTTGCCGGTACGCTTGGCGGGGGACATGTGTCACGAAGGGGAGAAAGCGGTTGTGGATGCTGGTAATGCACGCCGTGAGCGCTGTTGTGCAGCGCCGACAACGTACAGGAGGCGATTGTGGTGAAGTGCTTTCTCAGAAATAAGAGAATGGGCCTGACGCGGGGTCACTATCCCGAATCAGTGACAATTTCAAGTGATTATAGAGGATTTGGGTTGTTTGGCACGGGTGCAAGTTGCCTGTGGTGGATTAGCCATGACGAGCGGCACCCCGTATGTAATGACGATGGATCTGGTATGAGCGATGTACGGGAAGGCAAGATCCACCAAGGCTTATCTCGGATCCACCCTTACCTGGATTCACTTAGGTGGATATGGGATATACTATGTACCAGTGGATCGAGTGTGGATCCTATGAAGGAATGGTGGTAGGTGCCATCCGAAGGTGGATCTAGTAGCCACGGCTAACGAGAAGTCAGGATCCACCGCGAGGTACCCCGGATCCCATACTTCCGAGTTCGGGTCCAAGGAGGGAGGATCCCGCATAGAAGGACCTGGATCCAGGGTACAGGGATGAGGGATGCAGTGGATCTGGAACTTTCGTGGGACAATGGAGATCACAGACGGTTGCAAGATGATGTTGGATGATTGGAGAGCTCGGATCCACGGCGAGTGTACAATTACAGTGAGGTGGATCCAAGCGACCTGGATCCGGATGAGTGTACCCATAATAGGGTGACCATGATGATTACGTCATGGATCCGGTGGATCTGAAGATAACACAGCTGGGATGATGGGTCAAGGGAAGAAGGGACATGCAGCCGAGCCTGGTAAGGGATTTAGCAGATGAAAGACATAGAAGGTAGAAATCCAGGCAGGTATAGGCTTAAATATCAATACAGTCCTCAATTTGCACAGTAACACACAAGTGCCTTCCTCCTCTCAAGAACCGGAACTACATTGGCCGTACGAGCTCGGAGAAGGTTGGGAATTGCGAATCTAGTGTTGGTAGTGTTAACTGGATAATACATTGGCCAGATCCTACAACCTAGTAAGCTTTCCCATACACGTGTAGATCCGACGGGTTAACCGAATTTACTACTTGGTCGGTTATACCCTAGAGGCTCTCAACTCTCAAGATCCCGTCACAGGAGGCGGCAAGTACAACGCAAAGGAAAACGCAAAGGCAAGGGAACACGCCCGCAAGGCAACTCTACGGCCAGATCCACGATCTAGTCCCCGGATCCATAAGCTCGAATATTCGCTTAGGATTCGGAACCATCCACGGACGCAGAGTGAAGATTTTCCACTGCTGCTCCACCCCATCCCCACGTCTCGCCAAGACACTCAAGCTTCACCACTTGAACTCTTCGGAAGTTACCGAGAGAGCAGATCCCGCCCTACCGACGAATACACAAGGTGAGGAAAGTTCAGCAGAACACGGATCATCGGGGGACCCCCTCCGTTAGTCGGTGTCTGGGCGCAGTTGGTAAGTTGGATCCAGCAATCTCGCAGATTTTGCTGATCCCGCTACGCCACAACACACTGGATTGTACCCCGTTACACGCTCCGGTTTAGTTGACTATTTTCACTTTCGGATTTGCCGAGTAGGGGACACTAACTACTTTCAACAAGCTTCACTTATACAACCTTTTACCTCTCCACTGGGCGTGAGGCCACGGCCGACGGCGGAATCTTTGACTTACTCATTTCTTCCTATCGACGTGGAGCTGGGGTAGAACGGCTGCAGAGGCGTTCCAAAAATTGAAACGTTCCGGGACGACCCCGTACAGTACATCCCTGTCCCGTGACAAAAACATCAATACGTGTCACTCAGCGTGCTAAACCGTGCAATTTATCCTTGGTCAAGACAGTACTCTGTCTGGTCCAGACTGTCTGGACAAGAGTCTTGGTAGTTGAAGATCCCAGTTTAAGCAGTGTGCTTGCATGATTCTGGAGGTACCTGGATTCAAACTCGGTGGTTCGAATCTTGCCAATGTGCAAAAAATGTTTACTGTTACCGGTAGCCGTTGATAACTTTACTGCTATTATTGCTTTTTAGACTCGAGGCCACACGTCAAAATGGACCTGACAGCCGACGGCGGCTCGGACGGCGACACCAAGTTCGCAGTCGCATGGTCCTCGTGCTCGCTGCTGCTTCTTGGGCTTCTTCGCTTTCTGCTGTTGCACACGGCGCGCGACTTCTCGATGCTGACTCTGCTACTGCTGCTGCAGTTGGCACTGCACGTGACCACTGCCCGCAACTCAAGACGCGCACGCCTCTCGTATGACCCGCAACATGCAACTTTAGATGCTGCACGCCGAGTTGCGAGACTCTATGTGACATTGCAAGCGCTTCGTCATTTTGGACTGCTCTTCGCCTTCCTATTGCAACATTTGGACGTGTTGCTGCTGCAACTAAAGAGGTGGCACGATAGTGGCGACAGGAACAGCGCGCTACTGCTGCTTCTGGGTCACGTGTTGGTCGCTGGAGCTAATGCAGATGCGTATGGGGCTCTACTGCACACTTTTTTGCTATTAGGGGCGGCTTTGGGACTGCAACTGGCGGCTCAGTCGTCCACGCTTCGGGGAATAGCGACAGACAGTGAAGCGTCGTCTTTGTCCATTGCTGGAGCCGCAGCAATTGCTGCTGTCCTGGCCTTCCTGACGCCGGATAGTGCAGTGCATGCTCAGCAGATTGCCAACGACCGAGCGAGTGCTGACGGGGGCGTGATGAGCATGTCCACGTGGACATTCTATCTGCTTGTTACCGCTCTGATCCAGTTTGCAGCTGGCCATTTCGAAAGAAAAGTTAACTCGTTAATATCTGGGAGTCAAGTGAAGGCGCGGCTGGAGTGTTCGTCCACAGGGATGATGCTGGCAATTATCGCTGCAATCTCGGAGTTTGGCTGGTTTCGCGGCTTATTGAGCGCCGTGGCTTGTGGTTTGATTCTGTACGTTCTGGTGGACCAGTGGCGACGTGCTGATACCTCCTTTCGAGGCGGTGAGGCGTTCCTGGACACGTACAGATCTAGAACGGGGAATGGATATACGGAGGGTGGGATTGCTGCGCATGTGCTTGCGGTGCTGTGGTCAAAGCGCGCCTCACGTCAGATGCTCATTTTTCTATCAGTCAATGTTGCCTTTATGTTTGTAGAGCTCGCAGTTGGTCTGTGCACCAACTCTTTGGGGCTTATGGGCGACGCAGGACACATGCTATTTGACAATGGTGCGCTTGTGATTGGGCTTGCGGCCTCCTACATTGGACAATTGCCACCTGATGCAAAATTTACGTATGGATACGGTCGCGTAGAGGTTTTATCTGGTTTCCTGAACTCGCTGTTGCTACTTGTGGTGTCGTTCCACCTGATCACGGAAGCAGCATCGCGCTTTATGGATCCACCTGAGGTTTCAACGGACCATTTGCTGCTCACGTCAACGGCCGGACTATTTGTGAATTTGGTTGGACTATTTTTCTTCCATGACCATGTGCATGGCCACAGTCACAGTCATGGAATTGACTCAGGAGGCTGCGGAAGTGGCCACGGACATAGTTATGGTAGTAGTCACCATCAGGCTCATGGCGAGGACGCCTCAGAAAATGGCAATCACGGTGGCAGCACTAACATGTATGGGGTGTATCTCCACGTACTGGCAGATACACTGGGAAGCGTGGGCGTGATTATTTCGTCCATACTTATCCAATTGTACGAGTGGCACGTGGCCGACTCGGCGTCTTCTGCACTTATCTCGCTGCTGATTCTGGGCAGCACACTTCCTTTACTTCGTGATACTGCTCGCCAACTTTTACAGGGCGCTCCGCAAGAGCTAGCAAGTAGTGTCAATGCAGCTCTACAAGAAGTTCAAGCGTCTGTCCCAGGAGTGGAGCGAATTGTGCAGTGGAATATCTGGCATCACGCAGGCGACATGCGCATCGCGACGTTGCATGTTGAGGTTGCCAACTCGGCAGATGAACAGCGAGTGCTTCAACAGACCCGAATGATCTTCCGACGTCATGCCAAACTTGACAAGTTCCTGTCTGTACAGATTTCAAAGCCTCGGGTGATTGCCACGATGGGACTGGAAGGTTTGGGCTCGGACCACCCGACGAGGATGAACGGATGCAGCGCTGGCCACAGCCACAGCCATAACCACGGAATCGAGCCTCCTCTGGAAGCTCACACGTTGTCTTCATCGCAGCTGGAGCATCTATACAAGCACCCGCAACAGCCTATGATGAGCACACACGAGAACCCAGTGAGTGACGACTCTTGCTTTGTCACTTCGCCAGCTCTGAAGCCTCGTCATGCTCACAGCCATGACCATCATCACGAGCCAGGGCATTCGCTCCTCGTTGATTCTGCCGCTAGGTACTTTTCCCCACACTCAGCAGCAGCAGCAACGTCAACAGATCAACACTACAGGAGTGCAACGTTGGTAGTGACGGACCTGAGTTAACCTTGGGTGTGTTTTGGCGCAACAACAATATATGAATCACTTTTGCCGTGTGCACAGAATTTTTGAGAGTTACGTGTGGATCAGCTGACTTTACTTTTGAGGAGGACTATTTTCAGCGGTTGTTTCTTCGCGTCACGTTTTGCATCTCATTTTTTTCCAAGCGATCAACGGCATGAGCGACGATCGAGTGGCAGTCGGTAAACCCTTCTTTGATGCCTCAGCGCTTCTTCTGGTCGATACGCGAGCATCTCAATCACTAGAGCCTATACGTTTGCCTGCCAAGCTGAGAGAGCGAATTGACCGTGCACAGCGTCGTGCTAATGCTGCCAAGGAAGGCCTCTCGATTTTTACCAAGGAGTCCAAAGACGCAGCCGTTCCTGCACCTACAGCGACAGCGGGGAGACGAATAGCCACTGCCCCACCACCTGAGACCACAACAGCCTCGATTTTCGGTGGCATTGCCGACCCTCATCGCGCTTCAACTGCAAACGGTGGAATGGACGACAAAATGCACCTTCCTAACGTCGTGCTCAGTCACAAAATGCGGGACTTTGAAGCGCGCGCAAACGCAGGAGGAAACGTGGTGCTATTTTCAGCGGACGCAGCAGATCGAAGTTTGCAAGGACTGTCATTGGAAGACCGTGAACGGGTAATGCTGGTGATGCAGACAAAGATCCGACAAATTGCCAGCGACGTGGATGCGAATTTTGCTCGGATCACCAAGGCACTTGATGCGAACGGGATATTTGATTCGACCGCTAACATCCAACGAGCACAAACGCTTTGTCTTGTGGACCTGCAGCGCCGGTGTAAGCTGGACAAACTTCGAGATGAGGCGATGCGTGAGGTGCTGAACCTATCTACGTCAGTCATAGCGAACCAAAAGACCCCCGTCAACCCGGCTCGCAAGCTCAGTCAACTTTTGGGACCAACAACTAGACGAAAATCTGCTGAGGCGACAGCAGCAGCTCTTAACTCGACGACCACGCGTAGGAAGCGGAAGCCAGTCCGTGCCGCGAAGCTTCCAGCCCTCTTTACTTCTGGCAAGAGCGTTAACGAGAAAAGTAACAACCAGATATCGTCCTCGCCACAAGATCACCAGCAAAATAGTGGGAATATTGATAACAATAAGGATCTAGGAGTGACACGGGTGTTAACACGTCGCGGTGGTCTCGCACCTCCTGCTTCAGCATCTCAGACACAAATACGAGAGGAGGTTGGATGGAACACTGTGGCCACGAGCAACAAGAACGCCAACGACTGGGAACTCTCCACCCGACACTCTCATGTGACACAGATACTGCAATCCCTGGTCGCTGGTGAGACGCCAAATACCAAGACATTAAGTACTTTCAACGCGAATAGCGCTGAAGCAGATATGGACCATTCACGAGTGTTGAATCCGGTGGATGAGTGGACTCAACGTCCCGCCAGCTACCAGGCAGTAGGGGCACGGTCAACTGAAGCTGTTCGGAAATGCGGTGGACGCCAGCGTTGGGACACACTTGGACATTTTCGAAAAAAAAGCTTTCGAGCTGGCGTCTCTGCTGGACTTAGATTGCGTCTAGAAGTACAACATGCCACCTGGGGAAAGGGACACGACACGACAGCAAGTGACAAAGATGAAGAGGCTACAGACGACGGAAAAAGAAAAAAACGCAACCAGCAACAACGGGATCAGCAAATGTATGCAGAGCTTCAGGCCAACATCCGCGAGCGCCTCATTGCTAGCGAAAGACGAACACGAACAGCAGCTGCAGCGGTACGATCAGTGAGGACTTCGCGCCAGAAACGTCTACCCCAGACAGCTCCTGTGAAGATAAAAGAAACAAGCTACTCGACAGCGTCTCTTCCATTTGGGCAACTGTCTCCACCTCGAGGAGATCAGCTACAGCCGCTACAAGATGAAGTTTACTCGCCAATTCTTGGTATATCCGTGTCTACTCCCGTGTTATCGTCGACTATGGAAGGCTCCTCTGAGCTTCCATCTTCTTCCTCGTCACAGAAACATTCACGGTTTGGCTCTCGCGTGAGGAGGTCAGTGTTGGAGCTAAAGCTGATGAGGGATCCGTCTCTGTTAATGTCCAGGCATGGGAGAGGGAAAGAATCCCTTATCGGTGTACCACATACCCAGCTAGGCAACAAGTCCATTGGTCGTCATTCAGAAGCTCGGATAGCTTATCGAAGAGATACAGCCCAAACGTGGGCGTGGCATCACTCCCCAGAGTCCACCCCTAATAGTGCAGTGGACACCATTGCGGAGGATGAAGATGAACGTGACGAGGATCGATTCAATGAAGAAGGGTACGATCACAATGACAAGGATTGCAGTGAGGAGGGAGACGACAGAGAAGACGGAACGGAAGACGGCGACGGCGACGCGGAAAGTGTTGATAGTAGTCGCACTAGTACTGGCAACAGAAAACAAGGCAAAAGCAAGAGATTGCCAACTGTGCAACGTCGGGCAAGTCGCAGCGCTGCTAATCGTTCTACGGCCAATACGTTGGCAGGCCACGCACTAAGTCTTCATGCTCGACTGGAAGTCATTTGGCGTGTGCTGCATTTCCCTTACTCGAACAAATTGACCATGCTGGAACGATTATCAACGCTTCAAGACGCGGATGCCTTCGAATCGGTGCTCGAACATTGGGAACGTGTCACTCCATTGATTGCTATCCGACAACGTATGAAGCTTGCGTTATCCGGATACGCTGAGCGAGGCGAGTTGCGCCCAAGCGAATGGCTCACGCAATCTGAAATTGCACTTGTATCTGAGCTGACGCAACTGACGTCTGAATCAGGATCGGACGCTACGCCACCTCACACGACTTTTCCCTGTGAGCTCGATTCCGTATCCCCACCTGCCTTTATTGAATGGGTGGGTTTGCACCTGAATGGCTGTCGTTGACTCTTGCTAATGCTTACTTTCATTTTTGGTGAGGTAGATTCAGAATCACTCCGATGCAGTGACGTTGCAGATACAAAAGCTTGCAAACGACCTCAAAACTCACACGGGTGAAGAACTTCAGTTCCGGGGGCACCCGTATCCAAGGCGTTGACAGCATATAGAGCTAATCTGAACGGACGGATATGGCTGGCTTCAAAATGATTCCGATGGCAAGTAGGTCCGTCTACTTGCTTTGGTCTCCGTTCATGGCTGTATCTTGCTGGTCTGTCCACGCCTGAATCGCGGCCAAAAGTGCACCCACACCTAAATGCAAGTATTGGAAAGACGAGATAAGTACTCTACAGTGGATTTTGGAGGCCCCGCTACCAGCTTACCGTCTCCAAATGCCAGCTTGGAAGCACCTGCAGAAGGGTCCAAACCGAAATTGGCCATAACTGCGTTGAAGTTGCCCGTCTGCAGAGCATTCACAAGAGACCCGATGCTCTGGCGTAACTGAGGCGACCGCAGCTTTAAAGTGCAAACCATATACAGAGTAGCACGCATTAGCTCTGAGCCCACCGCTTCCAGATTGTTGGAGCTCAAAATCTCACCGTAGCACGAAGCTCTGCCGGAGTCTGTGAGCCTTCTGGTAGATGTTGGAGCAGGGTTTCAACGCTCGCTGGGTCGTCAAGGATTGCGCTCAAGCTGTCAGCACTGAGAAGTTTAGTCAGTGACACTGGCTTTGGATGCTGTAAAAATCAACACCGAATCATTGATTAGCATTCAGGAACACTACCACGCTGAAGGAAAAAAAACTCACCTCTAGCTGCTGGAAAGAAGCCATCGCACGCTGGAGATCTGCCGTAGTGAGAGTTCCAGTAGCTGGAGTCGCCGAAGCAGGTGCTGGAGCTGTCGCAGAAAGAGGTGGCACAGTGGCAGCAGGCGTCGATGCAGGAGCTGACGAAGTTGCAGCATCTAGCATACATAACAAAGAAAAGGTCAATACAGGGTCCATTTTCCTCCTCATTGGCGCAGCAGACTGTCGCCAGCAAGAGCCTATACAAGAAACAGCAGCACAAAGGCAACAAAACGTGAGAATTCCTACCGATTCGGCAAATAGTCAAAAGAGAGAGAAGGGCTCACTCACGTGGGGTGAAGGGCGTTAGGAGGCTGACAAGCTGCATGGGACCGACTAAATGGAGGTACTTTGTTGGAGAATTACATGCTACCTACCCCCATGGGTACAAGCCTTCCACTCTTCGGGCTCCAACAGCATTCAAGACGAAGTGTCCATGTTGCCTCCACCCGTGCCGCTGCCACTGTTACCGCCGCGTCTGTTGCCACTCTCTGAGTCACCTGTAGTGTTGCCTCCAGGGGCGTTGGGGTCGGTGCTGCCCCCGTCGCGCATGCTTTCCTCGATCGCCAGACGTAGTAGCTCGTCCTCGTCCATTTCGTCCACTTCCATGCCACCCACATCGTGTTCGTGCTGCGTCGACGCCGTCGTCGCAGCCGCCGAGCTTCCTCCGCCGTTCTGCGACGCCTGAGACGACGACACGGCCGACGTGGCAGGCGACGAGGCTGCCGACTGGGCACCCGCAGGCAGTCCCATGTTCTGTAGGATGTTCTGCAGCTCCGACATTTGCACAGCCTGACCACTGCCACCAGCACCGCCGCGTCCCTGGTCTCCGGCGCCCATGGCACCAAGCATCTGCATGATGGCGTTGTGGTCCAGCTGCACGTTGTTGCCAGATCCGCGGCTGCCATCGCTACTGGAGGCTGCCTGGGCGTTGTTCATACAATCGTTCACCTTCTTGACGAGATCCTCATCGCGCGACGCGTCCTTATTCTACGGTGTATAGTGTTCGTAAGGAGTTTGTTGCAGTTGCCATCGGGTGTTAAGTTCTCTATGAGTTGACGTACCTGCATCCAGAAGAAGAAGCGACGCGACGAGTTCTTGTACTGCAAAATATACACGCGGTCGTTGGTGCGCCCTGTGTCTACCTTGGCGAAGTGCGCGTCGTCCGGGAAGATGATAAAGTCCTCTGGACTGGCGCCGGTCTGGCGGTCAACCCACTGGAAGTGCAGAAGTTGGTCATCTCCACGCGAGAGACACACTTTGCCCTTCTCCAGCTGAGGAGTTATTAGGAATTTGCCGTTGGCAGTGGGCTTGACTGTCATCTTGCCAGCGTTGAACGACACCAGCTCGTTCTGAACAGCCAGTAACAGCGTTAGATACTGAGGGAGACAAGGGGAATAGATGGTTGCAATGCACACACGCGGCCGGCGGTGCTCGGCGCGAACACGTTGCCGAACTGTGGGAAAAGTGACGACGCCATGGCGTTCTCGGGATCTCCTATTGGTAATGCGGAAGATACTGAAGTGTCCCATTAAAATTACAAAAAAACGTATTTTACTTTTCGAGCTGTACAATACATGTACGAATGAATAACCAACGTTAGATTTGCATTCTCAACAATGGCTCGACAGGTGCTAAACTACCACGACGTGCAGTTGTACGAGTCGGATGCGGCGCTGTTCACAGGGCACCAGTGGCTCAACGACAACGCCATCAACTTCTATTTGCAGTATCTGACGCAGACAGTAGCTCGTCGCGACGTGCTGCTCATGGATCCGGCTGTGGTCTCGTGTTTGCTGCATCAGTGCGAGGACGAGGACGAGTACCAGGAACTGGCAATTGGGCTTGATCTAACTAGCAAACAGCTCTGCATCATTCCAGTCACGGACAATGACGCACTGGGTGCGGGCAGTAGCCATTGGTCACTGCTGCTCTACAGCGACGGAGATTTTCAGCACTTTGACTCGAGCTCAGGCCATAATCATCATGCAGCACGGCGCTTGGCCGAATCGTTTGAGGTTCTGCTGCGAGCTGCTGGCAAACGCCGTGGGAGCGGATTTTCTCGTCGGTTGGTGGAGGTGCAGAATGCCCCACAGCAGCAAAACGGCTACGACTGTGGCATGTATGTGCTGGTGCTGGCCGAGTATTTTTGTCGCCAACATGCGGGTGAGGTGGAGATGATAATATCACTTAATAATTATGCGACTCCCGAGAGAGTGACAGAACTTCGACTGCAGTTGCCCAAACTTATCGAGAAGCTGAAGGCGGAAGCAGTACGAGCCTAGAGCCTACTTCAAGGATCCGCAGAAGCCTGATTGAATAAAATTGAAGAATTTCTAGTCGCCTGCGCAACAATAAAGCGAGCTTGACAGACACGACTGTTTAAAAATGTGTGTCGGTTTACATGAATGCCAGTTTAGCTGCACCGAATTACTTTAAACAGCCCAGACTACGGCGAATTGGTGCGTATCAGCAAAACTAAAATGAACAGTACATAAGGGGTTTTGTCAAAACAGCGCATAATATTTCTGTCCTTAAAAGGACAAACTCAATTAATTTGACGATCTTGTATCTTATTTCAATATACACGAAGTTTGTACAATTGTGCGAGCGTCGTTGAAACCCCCCTGGTATTTTATTCCACCCACCCACTTCTCCACGTCAGACCCACCCGGTCTTCCTCAAAAATGTGGGTATTTTAGAATGTACTCTTCAAGTTCTGACCAGGTTCTTCCGTTAACTCTAGTGACCATGGTCTAAACGTCGAGTGCGACGCCGCTGCTCTACGGCTGCTCGGAAGTGGGCTGCAATTCTGATGGTGGCGGACAGAGGATGCATAGGAAAGCCGCGTCTGCAATGAGTGCACGTGAAATGACCGTGCGGCCGCGCGCCTTCTTGCACGCTGACAGTGGAGAGTGCCAGGAGAAGTAAAAATAATATTTGCAAAGCCCCTACAAAAAGCGGTGGTTAGTGTGCCCGATTTGATGCACATACGACAGGTTTTGCGTAGCTAAATGTAAATAATCAATCATCAACGCAGCTCGCCAGGCTGTTTGCAACCAATCGATGCGTTTCGTGCTCAGCAGAAATGTTTACATCACGTCCAATCGCGAGGGCGAGAGACGGTCTGATCGTGCGACAGATCCAGTCAGTGTCGCAGGTCGGCAGGTATTGCTTAATCAGGGCGCGAGTTAATTGTGTAACGCTTTTGGATATATTTGTAATTTTGGCATAGTTAGGTCGAGTCAGAAAGGTAGACGCGGTCGGTACGAAGCGGTATAAGACAGACCGAGTGTATCCATGCGAAAAGGCAGGCAAAAGCAGTAAGAGAGGAAAGCGACGGACTGATTGACAGACGGACGGACAGACACGCTGCAAGGTTAAGAGGCGGGAAACTAGCGCTCTGGGCGCCCGCTCCGCGGACGCTAGGGCATGGTTGGTTGGTGTAGAGAGGGGCGACCACCTCCGCTGCGCTGCGGTGGGCTTAGAATTTCTACTTGGACCACAGCTACATATAATATAAGTATGCTGTGATCTACTTATGCTACGTTCCAAAACAACACCGCACACAGTATCTATAGTGCTCACATGTTATGGTAGACATGACCAGGGTTTATCGTGATCTGCAAGATGAGCACCATCTTAGCCGGGAGGGTTTTGTCTATAATCTCATTTGAGCGCATAGCTCCCAAAATGTCACGAATCGGAGGCGCGCGTGGTTGCAAAGCTAATATATGCTGTACGGAAGACGGGTCAGTATCAATGATGCTACGAAATATGCGTAGATCGGTGAGGAATCCCAGTGTAGCTGGAGTAAATACGCCTACTCAAACATATTACCCATCTGCACGTCATCGCCGTGAGGCAGTCGACACATATCACCGATTGCGACGGTCTAATAGAGCAATGTTAATCAGCTCCTCGCGCGAAGTATCTTTTAGGATAGGTAGTTTTTGCCGATGGTCGCCACAAACATCAATATTATGCCTTATAATTATTCTGCTGAGCTGTTTGTGATGTTACTGAAGGGTATTTCCACTATCTTCCGCATGAATTTATCTTACTTCCATAGCTGACGTACTTTCTGACTTATTGGCATAGCTACTGACTGACAAAGTGGCGTAAATCCTTTCCGACTGACATTATACTGGGTCCGATATGTACGACAAACATACGAAGATATATGGCTGTAGGCAGAGATTCAGATCGTAGTGATGCTTAGACTTGATTTGAATAATAGTTCGTGTACATTAGATGGAGTACTTTCGCTGCCTACTTATCCGCTCGGCGTGCTATTTGATGTTTCCGTGCATATATCGCAAGGTCGTTAATGAGTGTATTTGCCACGCGCTCGTGATAGTTCAACCTATGCATGGGGTCACTGTTTCTTTATCGGTACTTTTGCATCGTGGTGCTAGCTTTCTGCGCCTATGCTTCTGATGGATCACCCAAGCGCGCCACTAACTGGACGTAGGTCATAGCCGCGGTGATACAGGCAAGCTGACCGCGCGTATGTAGGTAGTAGTCAACGCGAAATATGCGCGCGGCGGGTACATCTTATAATCATTCGCGACTCAACCGGACTCTCGTCTCGACCATTATACACAGGAAACTAAAATACAGTACTGCGTACAGGCACATCGACTTGCGACGACACCTGTATGGTCAACACTACCATAGACGTGCTTGTGTCTATGTCGACAGCAACTTATTGGTCGGTGCATAGTGCTCACTCTATACTGAAGCTTACATTCGTGAGCGCACATTAATAAAATAAACGCTGTGAGCGTTGGTGGTACAGATAGCATGATTTTTCGTGTGCCCACGTGAGCGAGTGTACGTGCCATCTACGGTGACGCGTATGCGGATAGGAACCACCAACTTGCAGCGGTGCACAGTTGATTCCATGTCTTATTATATTTTGAAGCGCGCTACGCTCTATAGGCGCGTCAACATGCTTGGTAGCGCCACAGCCCGCTTACAGTATGTGCGACCTCAAACCTTGCACCGTCAGCCAGTATACAAACCTATGCGGGGTAAGGGGCTAAAAGGGTATACTTACCAATTACTTGCTCTTCTGCTGCTTCTTTTGCTCAATGTACCTGACGTTTCGGGCGGTCAGCTTGCGAGGGCGGCTGTGTCTATTTTTCTTCTTGAGGTACCAGTCAGGGCCCATCACCTTCTCGACGTTTGGCAGGCTTTCCTGGCGGCGCACTTCGGCCGAATTAGTTGGTGGAGGCTTTTCCTCCCAGAACTTAACCGCTTTTGGGCCGTTCTTGCAGGCAATACAGTGCCGCACGCTGCCCCGTCCGCTGATTGTACGGAACGCGTAACCGTACTGCATCTTCCCGCAGCCGACGCAGCGCGCCCGTGCATCCGTCGTAGACCGCTGCGGGTTCAGCAGAAGCGGGTCAATCTTCGCCTCGCATTGCTTGCACGTAGGGCCCACCATTTTGCAAACTGTGAGGAAGCTAGCAACATATATTGTTTTAACCAATTACTTGCGTCAAAATATTAGCCAATCGCACGGTATGTAAGGCTGGTATTTATTATTAGGCAAAATAGTAAAATGTTTTAAAATATTAGTATTTGGCTTAGCTTTAATATATTATTATCAGATTTCCAAACAAATACATACTTTACATGCAATTTAAATTGACTAAAACAATTATCTATCGTGCGCGCATGCATTCGTCGGGTGGGGTGCACGGGAGCAGATAGCGCAATGACCGTGCAGTCGCGCGCCTTCATTGCACGGTGGCAGTGTTGAGTGCCAGGTAAAGTAAAATATATATATTCGCAAAGTCCCTACAAAAAGCGCTGGTTGTGAAGCCTACTTTAATATTAAAAAATACTATCGTCTCTACTTTGAAAAGTGTGTGGAAAATAGCATCGCCGAGCTCTTACAAATGCGGCCTGTGAAGCTTATTCTAAGAACACTATTAATATCGTCTTTACTTCGAAAAGTGTGTGGAAAATAACATCCCTGAGCTCTTACAAAATACTGGTCTGTGAAGTCTACATTAATAATAATAAATATTTCTATTTGAGAGCTCTTAGAAAATAAATGGTTACTGTGCCCGATTTGCAGTACATACGACAGGTTTTGCGTAGCTCCGATGAATGCATGCGCGCACGGTACATAGTCTTTTAGTCACTTTTATTGCATGTAAAGTATGTATTTGTTTGGAAATATAATAAAAGTATTATTATAGCAAAACCAAAATATTAAATATCAACTTTTTAATATTTTTAAATAATAAATTACCAGCCTTATATTTCCGTGCTATTGGCTAATATTTGGACGCAAGTAATTGGCTAAACAATATATTCTGCTAACTTACTCACAGTTTGCAAAATGGTGGGCCCTACGTGCAAGCAATGCGAGGCGAAGATTGACCCGCTTCTGCTGAGCCCGCAGAGGTCTACGACGGATTCCCGGGCGCGCTGCGTCTGCTACGGGAAGCTGCAGTACGGCTACGCATTCCGTACAATCAGCGGGTGGGACATCGTGCGGCGTCGTATTGCCCGCAAGAACGACCCAAAAGCGGTTAGGATCTGGGAGAAAAAGCCCCCACCATCTGAGTCGGCCAAAGTGCGCCGCAAGAAAAGCCTGGCGAACGTCATGAAGGCGATGATCCTGACTGGTACCACAAGAAGAAGAAGAAGCGCAGCCGCCTTCACAAGTTGACCGCCCGAAATGTCAAGTACATCGAGCAAAAGAAGCAGCAGAAGAGCAAGTAATTGGAATATATGCTATTTAAGGCCCCATTTTCCTACATATGTTTATACTTAGTATTCTGGCTGACGGAGCGAGGCTTGGAGCGGCACAAACGGTAAGTTGACTATGGCGCTGCCAATAGTGTTGACGCACCTATAGAGCGAAACGCGTTTCATATAATAATTAGCACATGGTATCTACTGTGTACCCTTGCAATCTGACCGTTTCTATCTGCATACACGTACACTCGCTCACTTGGGCTAAGGCAAGACCACGCTATCTGTATTGTCAACGCTCACTGCGTATATTTCACTAATGTGCGCTCACAAATTGAAACTACAGTATTGAGTGAGCACTACACGCGACGAATACGTTGCTGTCTACGTAGACACGAGCACGTGTGGGATAATGCAGACCAATAAAGGGGATGTGACAAGTCGATGTGCCTGTACGCAGTACCGTACGTTAGTGCCTTGTTCAAATTGGTCGAGATCAGAGCTGGGATGGTTATAAGGTGTACCCGCCGCGCGCGTATATATCTGCTAGCAGACGCGCGATCAGCTA